CATCATCATCATCATCATCATCATCATCGTCGTGTCTTTTGCAGCGCGTCTCACCAATGTTGTCTTCAGTCCTCCAGTCTCCACATCCCACACACGGACGGTGTGATCCCAGGATGCACTGCAAACCTCCTCACTGTCAGACCAGAGGACGGAGGACACTGCCTCATTGTGGCCAGACAGCGTCATCAGGGGAGTCTGTGTCAGAGAGACATCAGAAAAACCTCTTACTGACGTCCCTTCACATGTAGCATCCCACATATTCAATTTAACACTTGTCAAAGTCTCACTCTGCACTCACCCTGGTCAGGCCGAGCTGTTGAGTCTTCTGCTTCTTCCTCGGTCTGTCAGCGGGTTCTTCGACATCGTCTGCCTCATCTGTGGGCACTGACAGCAGAAGACAAAGTGGTCACTTGACATTTACTCTTGGCTCAGTGATGCTGAAGACTCCTTCGATCACTCTTGGAACCTACCTGCTGACCAGATTTTCAACATTTTGTCCCAGGAGCCGCTGCAGAACTGAAGGGAAGCAGCACAGACATTAGATACATTTATTTTTGCCCGTTTTGACTTGGATTCTTTTTTTTTTCCATTCCTCCCAGCTTTACCTTTGAGGCAGTGGGGTCTGTGGCGACAGTGTCAACGCTCCCCGTGTGTCCCCGACAGCAGTGTCTGGCTTTCACCTTGTTCTTCTCCGAGTTCCACTCCCACATCAGGATGGTTTGGTCCATAGAGGCCGTCAGAAGCAGAGAGGTCAAACCATCTGCCAGGAGAACACCCACGGAGAACTTTTAGGAAAGGTTACGATACCTCACAGCAGAGTGAAGGTCTAGAATTTCATCCTGCTCACCTCTTTTAACCCAGGCTACATCTTTGACTACATCTGTGTGTCCTGCCACCGTTGTCATCGCCTTGCCTTCCACAGACCAGATCCTGGCTGTCTTGTCGTATGACCCTGTTAGGATCCTGCATAAACACGAGTGGTCACAACGAAGATAATGGGACTGTTACACATTCCAAATTCACAATCAAACATTTCCAACACATACAGCAAACAACACTTTGTGCTGTTTTGAAAGTGATATCTCTCATCTCACCATTCAGTATCTGCATGGAGGGAGCTAATCCAGTCATCGTGCATTATACACTCCTCAGGTTCTGGGGCTGTGATCCGCTCCACATACTCGATCTCCACCACTTCTTCCTGAAACACAGACACACAATAATCGTTATGCTGCAATTTGTACATTTATGTTAAACACAGCACATCTGTTCAGGTTTGGGCGCTGAGGCTGGTCTTACTGTTGATATGCCTTCTGTGTCCATGTGAAAGGACAGCGACGTCCGCAGGAACTGACCCCTGACCAGGAAGTCGAAATCCACTTTGTTGTGGGATGCTGTGGAAATAAAAACACATTTGCATTCAACCTGTTACAAAATAAATGTGTGTATGGTTGTCTCTGTAGGTCAGGCCTGTTCTACACTGTCAAACTGTCCAGGGTGTGCCCCACCTCTCACACAATGTGTGGGATTGGCTCTCGCTCACCCGTGAGCCTCAAAGGATAAGTGGTATATAAGGTGTTAGTCACACCTCATGTTGAATAATAGATTTGATGTGATCAGAAAAAGATCAAAATGCAGATTAAATATATCTTTGTGGAATTGTCTTTCAAGGTGTGAATAAAGTTCTTACCATTTTTAGCCAACAGCAGCTTGTTGATAACGTTGCTGAGGTCTTCCACCTCAGAGGCAGCAGGGATGGAGAAGGGAACATCATCCACAGCAAACCTGAACACAAGAGACCAGAGGTTGTGTCAATCAAACACAACCCTGACATCTGCATCTAGTGGATTCATCTGTCAATCAGCACGGGATGCTATGCTAGTGTTGAAGAGTTTAGCTAGGTGAATAAAAAAGCTAAAAACATTAGCGGCTGGATGTGGACAGTGATCAGAAGCTAAGTTACAGCTAGTTAGCCAGCATGCTAACCCCTTCTAGTTCTTTGGTTTCAGGGGCTCGGCGCTCACCTCTTGTCCTTTGTGAAGAACCTCGCCTGTAACTGCGACATTTTTCCTCCTTGTGTGTTTCTCTGATGAACCAGGGCCTCGTGTGTTTCTCAATCTGAATCAGCTCCTTGGAAACTCTTCCGCCTGTCGAGCAGCTCAGCCATGTGCTAGGGAGCCAGGCGCTGCGGCAGAGCACAGATAGAGTCACTCGACCGGATCGGCGCTCCTCCAGTAATGCCTGCCGATCATAACTTCACATTAAAAAAAAACAAAACAGTATTTATTGATATTTTAGTTTTAAACCTACAGAGAACTTACATTAGAGGCAGAATTTTTTTAATTACTGTATCTTTCACTCAAATTGTATTTACATCGGAG